GATGATAAAAATTAAAACTTAAAAAATAAAAAATTAAAACTTAAAAAAAAAAAAAATTAAAACAAAAAAAAAAAAAATAAATAAATCTAAAAAAAATAAATCATTTTTCTGTATTAGCAAAATAATATTCAAAATTTTTTTTTTTGAATTGAGGGTTTCACTTTCTTCAGAAGACTTATTCATGCATTTTTCAGTAATTCTATTTAAATCAATCTCGTCGATTTGAATTTTATTATACTCACCTGCTATCTAATCTTTTAAACACAAACTAGCTCGAGCAGTTTCTGGTAATAAATGTATTTGAGTTTTACTAATAGTAAGACCAGCTAAGAAAAATTCCTGTTTAGATGCTACGCTAGTAGCCTGTATGCATAAATAATTACGAGCTACTTTTGATAATATTAGATATTTAAATTAATATGAATTCCACCATAACAATAGATTTGTATCAAATTCAGGAGTATTTCTTAGGTAATGAGATATTTTATCAGTACAGTAAGTTAATTTCTTATTTAAAACTTTTTAAAAATATAAATGTGATGAGGGTTGTTGATTCGAATCTTGTTAACTTGTTTGAATACTATTTATTTGTTGATATGTAACAAAAATTGTTTGTAATTTTTGTTTAATACTATCATAATGATCAATAGTAAAAGTTTAGATCATAGATCAAGAACTGCAAATATAATAGAAGTTTCATCTAAAGTTAATTTCCAATAACTAATTAATTTTTTATAAATTAATTCTGCAACTTTCTTTTGGGAATCAGATTTAATAAAGTTATTTAATATATCGAAGATTCCAAGAAATACCAAATGCATATTACCAAGTGTTGGATGTTTTGAAGTCGATAATAATTGTGTAGCTTCATATATTGGTTGGGGAATTTGTTCAAGATTTTGCAATTAGGACTACTCATTCTCATCAGGATAAATATCTATTAGAGTTTGTCTGCTATTAGCAAGAAGAATATCATTTATATATTTATTCTTAAGCTGCCGTTGGATCATAAGATACGTGCTATTCTATCTTGTATTAATATCAATGATTGAAGATAAATAATTTATATTTTTTGATGCACAAATTTGACACATCTCATCGGTTAAATGTGGTGAGTCTTTAAGTTTACTGACCCACTGGTGAAGTTTTTTCAATTCAGATTCTACAGCTTTTAAATTTGCTAAATGGCCAAATTAATTATATAGGCCGAACAGCGATAATGTGCAAACTCTAAATTATTAAATTCATTTTCTAATTCATTTATTAATAGTAAATTAGATGCTACTATGTTTGATCCGTTGTCTGTTGTTAAACTTATAGCATGATTATTTAAATTAAAATCATTTAAAACATTTCACAAAAGAGTAGCAGTATATGATGCAGTATGTTTGTTGTTCATAGGAATAATATCCAAAAGAATTTTGTTTAGTTCCTATTCCTGAGTAATATAATGTGCTGTTAAGGATAAATAAGATTCGTTAGTCATCAAAGACCAAATATCTGAAGTTAATGCAACTTTTCTAGGAATATCTTTTATAAAATTTTTACAAATTTTTGACTGTTGCATATTAAAATTTTTGATGATAAGATCCTTAATAGTTTAACGTGTTGGTACTTTGTATTTGGAATTAAGTAAATAAATAAATTTATAAAATTGCAAATTTTCAACTACTGAAAAGGGCTGAATATCTAAAATTATCCAATTGACAAGACATCGAGTAATATTATATGACTAATATATATTTCAAGGTGCTTTCTTTAAAGATAATGACGCAATGTAGTTATAGCACAACCTGGTAAATAGTTTTTTGA